TCTGCGCCGCGTCCATGACAGCTGTTCAGGCAAACAAATTCTTCGTCACATCGCCGCGGAAGACACAAGATGACTCCTACACCAACCTCCTCGAAGGAGCACATTGCTCGGCCGCCCAAAAAGAGGCCGCTTGCGCTCTTCAACTACACGCTCGATTCCATGCAAGGTAAGCCTCATACTATTTGGAAAATCTGTTTTTGTGCTTGTGTAGGAAACTAAATGAGGGTCTTCTGTATTCTGGATACGAACAGCAATATCAGGTTTTGAACAGACGAAGCATCCGAAGTATTTGAATTTCTGCAAAAGTTTGACTGACGATTCTTCAATCGAGCCCGATGTTTACTGATGTGTTGTTATGTCTTACAGGGTCTGAGGATGAGCCACAGGATCTGAGCATGAAGAGCCGTAGGGTCACCACGCCCACGCCCACGCCCGTGGTCACTACGCCCACACCACCGCCACCTCCTGCCCATGTCAGGATACCCTCGAGCCCGCCTCCCGCCCCGCGCCCTTCCGTCGCCACGCCCCTGCTCCCGCCCCGGTCCACGCCCGACGTCAGCGCGCTGCTGGGCCTCGTCGGCGGAAGCATCAACCTCTCCACCAGCATCTCCAGCCACAACAACAATAACAACACCATCTCTTGCAACACCAGTGCCAGCCCTAGTTACTCCAGCAACTTCAGCATCAACACGGAGAGTAACTTCAGCAATAACTTCGCCGCCGCCAATAGCAGCCTGATGAGCAGCGCCGGCCTTCGCCTCATCAGCGAGGTGGCGGCTGCCTGTGGGCGGCCTACGGTTCTCCGGGCGCCCGGAGGCAGCGGGGAGACGCCCAGTAGTCACGCCAGCCCCTACGCGCCCCCGACGCCCAGGGACCCCTTGCGCCATGCCATTCGGGACCGCCAGTCGGGCGTCCGGCCGTGGCACTACCACCCTTATCTGCCCCTCGGGGTCTACAACCTGCCCTCGCACCTCCAGTCCCCCCGCACGGCCACGGGTGCGCGGAAGGACATGAGGGACGTGAGCAACGCGACGGTGCGGTCCCGGGCGGGCTCCGTGTCCCCGCCGGGCGAGACGGGCTCCAGCAGCAGCGAGAGCAGTCCTGAGGTCCAGCAAGATGGCCGGACGCCGCGCCTCTCCTGCCCGGACTGCGGCCGTCGCTACGCCACCATGGCCGGCCTGGCCAAGCACCGACAGTTTCACTGCTTGAAGGATGCCGGCAGGTCCTTCGGCTGCAAGCACTGCGACAAGGTGTACACGAGCCTGGGCGCCCTCAAGATGCACATCCGCACCCACACCCTGCCGTGCAAGTGCCACCTGTGCGGAAAGGCCTTCTCGCGCCCGTGGCTCCTGCAGGGCCACATCAGAACCCACACGGGAGAGAAGCCCTTCCAGTGCTCGCAGTGCGACCGCTGCTTCGCCGACCGCAGCAACCTCCGAGCTCACCTCCAGACGCACACCGACGTCAAGAAGTACGCCTGCCGCACGTGCCCCAAAACCTTCTCCCGCATGTCTCTGCTGGTGAAGCACGAGGATCATGGTTGCCCCGGGGTGAGACCCGCACGCCCTCTGGCGCTGGCACCCGCCCCGACGGTGCCCCTGTGACGCCCATGAAACGCCCACACTTTATCCAGTGTTGTTACCAGTGACACCAGATAACATTTGCAAGATAACCATTCAGGTGCTAATGAAATCGGAATCCAATCCCAATTTACGTGCCACATGTAACGGTCGTTAAGGTTATGCTGCAAAGGATATGGGAAGAGCACGTTCGGTCCGCTCGTGCCAGTGCGTGAAGTGCCAAAGTGTCACGTAGTTCTGATGAATTGCTACGTCTAGTCATGCCACGCCCATTGTAGGTTTGGCTGCCTCGGAAAGGGGGAATCACAAAATAGTCCAGAACCATATACACTTTCACAGAAAATTGAAATTATTCCCATATATCGCGGACAAAAACTCGGACAAACCCAAAATTTTTCAAAGAAAAAAATTGCCCTCGATGCCACGTCCAGGACAATGGCATCGGAATGTGTAAATGTCCCCGTGCATCGCCTTCGCCCCAAGCCAGGTGTTCCCCCTTTCGAAGTCCGCCGTTCCCGAGAGCTTTACCTGAGACCCCACAGCCAGACCGGGTCTTCTCAACGTACCTGCATTCCTCCAGGCCCGGCCATTGTGTCGCCGGTGGGGGAGGGGCGGGAGGGACGCCGGGGGAGGCACCGTGGGAGCCGCCCCCTTCAGGATAGGAGAGGGAGGGGAGGGGTTATGGGAATGAGAGGGAGAGAATGAGTGGGTCAAGAATGAGAGAAGCTGTGTGAGATCTGTGAGTGTGAAGGGGTAAGTGTGAGAGAAAAGGGTGACGCCATGTGAGAAGGAACATGAGCAGAGAACTAGTGTGATTGATGGATGAAAACACGAAATTTATTTGATGGACAACGCATGCGTAGATGCCAGAACGTCAGATAGTGTTGAGTAAACGTAGAGAAAAATGTAAACAAGACAAAGAGTGTATTCAAAATACCATCGAAAGGTCGCATGTGACTTGCTCACCCTTCCCGACCATGACTTTCCTTAGGACTGGACTTTATATACGACTTTATATGCATCAAACTGCCTTCCCATGCTGTCAGAGCCTTATATATTTGCTGTGACTTGCTATGCCAACCGACTCTTTAGAGACACAATGCTGCCATACGTTTTGATAATAAACAAAGCGTTTTGTAAAATATATTGTCTGAGAGTCAATGGCATATGTTACTTTTTGTGCCAATGAGATTCGGTGCCTTCTTCACTACTCACTGTCTTGCTATTGTATATGCAGATTCACTATTAAATACTTCCTATGTAATATGTATATCTATAGTATATCTATATTTTATACATCTTTATAAATAAAGATTACGAAGCTAATATCTTGTTTTACCTCGTCACCAAAAAAAAAAAAAAAAAAAGACTCCGGAACATCGGGTTATCGGAAGAAAATCTACGGAGACAATACACTATATTTCTAAAGACACGAATGAACAGAAATAAAAGAAACACATTAAGACTTAAAATCCGTTAAAAGGACACAAAAGAGAAAGAAATAAAGGAAAAGAAGAAGAAAAGAGAGTAATCCAGGTAGCGTCCAGACCTCTCAATCTACGTATAATCCGTTAATAACCGGATAATGAACAATAATGACCTCTAAATACCTTCAATTTTCCTAGAAGCGGAAGTAGGCATTTAGTATTTACAAACCTGTAGTGGATATAGGTTATCATTACTTATATTCTTTAATTGAAACATTAATCCCAAACGTTTATATTCACGACCAAAACATTTATAGTCATGATCCCTTTCCACCTAACTTATGAATGAATAACACGAATGATAATCCCGGTGATGTTCAAAATGGTGATGACAACAGTGACAGTTAGAAGAATAAAATTGATGAGAGTAATATCTAGAAAGATACTATCACAACAATAACAACAACTAATGATATTACTAATACTACTACTACTGTTACAACAACACCAACACAACAACAACAGCGATTACAACTACTACTAATGCTGCTGCTGTTGCTTCTTCTACTGCTACTACTACTACTACTACTTCTATTACTACTACTACTACTATCATACTACTACTACTACTACCACTACTATCATACTACTACTACTACTACCACTACTACTACTACTATTACTACTACTATACTACTACTACTTCTACTACTACTACTAACTACTATACACTACTACTACTACTACTACACTACTACTACTACTTACTACTACTACTCTAACTACTACTACTACTTCCCTATTATATTACTACTACTACTCCTACTACTACTACTACTTTACTACTACTACTTACTATACTATACTACTACTCTACTACTTAACTGACTACTATTACTTCCTGACTACTATTACTATTACTAACTATTAGTACTAGTAACTTACAAAAAATAATAATGATGATAAAAAATGGTAATGATAGCTATGATATTAGGCAAACATATAATGGTAATATATTGATGATAATAATAATATATAATAATAACTAAAAACTACTACTTACTACTTACTCTACTACTACTACTACTACTATACTACTACTACTACTACTTACTAACATACTTACTACTACTACTACTACTACTACTACTACTACTACTACTACTACGAATACTACCACTACCATCTACACTACTTTAGACTTGCTACTACTTACTACTTACGACTTTCCACTACTATACTATTACTACTATTAAGTACTAGTTACTCAAAATATAATAATGATAATACCAATAATGATAATAAACAATTGGTAATGATAGCTATGATAATAGGCAAACATATAATGGTAATAATAATAATATTGATGATAATAATAATAATGATAATTATGATAATAAGGAAGATAATGGTGATATTGATAATGACAATGATAGCAATAGTGATAACAATAATGATAGTAATGATAATGATAATATCAGAACAATAATCATAATGATTATGATAATGAAAATAATAATGATGGTGATAACGACAACAACATCAGCTGTAATGATAATGATAATGGTAATGATATCAATAGTAATAACGATAATCTGAAATAATGATATTGATTAATAATAACAAAAATTATGAACGATGATGGCAATGACAATGATACAGCTTATGATAATAATCATGATATCAATGATACCAGTGATGATCATAATGATAAGACTGATAACAATATAGGAATGATAACAAAATCAATAACAACAATGACAATGATGATAAAGCAGCAAGCAAGAGACTCCATGCTTCGCTTCTTTGTCACCAAGTCTGAACACATGGGCGGCACACCTTATACAAGAGTACTATAATGTGAAAAGTCGTGATTTTTTGTTCATTTATAAGTTTTATGGATATTCAACATCACGAAACATTTCTGGATAGCTGTTATGTCTCAACGTGTGCTAGCAGAAGCCCTGATAATAATCCTCGTTCTTATCCCTTCTCTCTCCTCTCCTTTCCTTTCGCCTTCTCCCTCTGCTGCCTCTTGTCTTTCTCTCTCTCTCTCTCTCTCTCTCTCTTCTCTCTCTTCCACTTCTACTCTCATCTTCTCATTCTTGCTTGGTCTTCCCCACATTCTCTCTCCATTTCTTCCTCTCCTCCCCCATTATTCCTTCTACTTTCTCTTCCTACCTCGCCTCTCTTTCCCTTCAATCCTCTTCCTCCCCCCCCCTCCCTACCTCCGTCTTCCTTTTTCTACCGTTTCCCCTTTCCCCTTCCTTCCCTCTCTCTCCCTTTTCCTCCCGTCTCCCCTTTCCCTTTCTCTCCCTCCTCTCTCCCCTGATTTCCCTCTCTTCTTCCCCTTTTCCCTTCTCCTCTTTCCCTTTTCCTTCCCCCTCCTTCCCCCCCTTTTCTCCCCTCCCTTCCCCCTTCCCCTACTCTCTCCCCTTTCTTCCGTCTCCCCTTTCCCCTTCCTTCCCCCTCTCTCTCCTTTCTCCCGTCTCCTCTTTCCCCTTACCTCCGTCTCCCTGCCTCCCGTTCCCCTTTCTCTCTCCGGCCCCCTTCGCCCCCCCCCCCCCCGACATCATTATCAGCATGAATGTGCTGACGTAATGCTTGATGCCCCGTGATTCACCCTCGGTGTGACTCACGCTCGAATACTTGCTGTAAGTGCCAAGGATTACGCCCATTCCCCAAGAAGCTTACACTGATGTTAGGAAAAATTGAAAGCTATTTTTATTACGAAAATACAAGGATAACGGATGCGTGTCACCTTCTCTATGAGTAAACAGATCAGCTGTCTCGTAAAATCGTCATCATGCAATATAATTATCGAAAAAATCTCTTCATTTAAAACCGGAGACCCTCCTTTGTAGGAGGCTGCAACGTATCAGCTCCTCTGACAGGAAATGAATTGCACGTTCGGGAGCTCTATAGACTGAAAGGCAGGACCTCGTTACTCGGATGCGCAGAGAGGGTGACTCGGCGGCGCTGGCGAGTCCTGAAGCCCTGATCCTCTCAATGGACAGGCGACGAAGGCACCACACTGGGGCCCCTGAGAACCCCAACGCGTGCGGGGATCCACGTCCTCCTGACCCCTTCCGATCCCGCCGACCGTCCTCCGCGTCTTCGTTCTTTGTCTCTTTGCCTCTCCGTCTTCCTCTCCTTCGTGGGAATAACTCTTCGGTTTGTGGTACCCCTCGTTCATTCCTCAAGGCATATGCTTTCACCAGGTAACCATGTTGATTCTTGAAGCTGTTTTGCAATATCCTAATAAAACGCGCATCAGTTTATAAGAGCTCGCTAATGTGTACTTATGGCCAATGAGTAAACATAAAACAAAACAAAAGCATCAAAACAAGGGACTGGCAAGTTTGAGATCGCATCCTGGGCCAAGAGCTTCCCTTATGCGTCGGCAAAAATCACATTAAATATTAATCAAGACGTGTTACGAAACAAACTTGTTTCTCCTTTTATTAGATATACTGCACCGCACGACACCTTTAAGACTTGCGCCCGTGACTGCGCAGTGTATTTCTTCTGTCCAGTGTCATGACTAGAAAACAAATGTCTTTATTACACAGCAAACTTTTCAGATTTCAAGCTAATCTGAAAACTCTTACGAGTCTCACGATCCCTCGTTAGTCTTAAGGAAATCTTAAGCGAAATGAAAAATCAGGAACATGAGAAGCGTGAGCTCAAGTAATGCATCGGCTTTCAACATCGCGTTTTTACCCACACACAAACATACACGCACAAATACAAAACAAAGATGCACACACACGCGAATATATATATATATATATAATATATATATATATATTTATATTATATAGTATATATATATATGTATATATATATTATATATAATATATATATGTATAATATATATATATATATATGTATATATAATATATTAGTATATATATTATATATATATATATTTATAACATATTACATAATTATATATATATATATATATATATATTATATATATATATATATATATATATATATATACAGCATATTACATGATACATATATAATATATAGTATATAGTATACATATATATAATATACAAGTATATATATGGGTATATAAGTGACTTATATATTATATTAATAATTATATATATAGGTATATAATTATATGATACTATATTAATATGTGGTGTGTGTGAAGAGGGAGTAGTGAGAAAGAGTGATGGTATGGTGAGTGAATGGTGTGTTTGCTGTGTGTAGAAGCTGTGTGTGTGTGGTTGTAGTGCTGTGTGTGGAGTGTGTGTGTGTGTAGTGTGTGTGATGCTGTATCGTGTGGTGCTGTGTGTGTGTGTGTGTGTGGGTGTGTGTGATGTATATATTATATATATATATTACATATATATATATAATATATATATATATGTAACAGTAAATTTGTAGTGGTGTGTACATCGTTTGGTGGTTATGTATTTGGATGCCATGTATGTTGTGTGCACCACACACACACAAATATAATATTATATTATACTATATATAATATATATATATATTTATATATATTAGTATATATAAAATTAAATAATAATATATATATACATTTAGTAAGAATTAGTATAGTAATATATATAATAATAGATATTATATATAATATATATATGTATATATACACACATAATATAATATATATATATATATTAATTATATATATATATTATAAATAATATTATAAATATATAGTATATATATATATGATTGGTAATATAGTTAATGTGGATAGATGTCTGATATCCATAGTGTGAGGTGTAATAATTTAAGCAGCATATAAATTATATGTGTAAATAGTTGTGGAAAAGGGAGAGAGGGAAGAAACGATGAGAGAGAGGAGAGCGAAAGAAAGAAAAGCTGGAG